AGAAATTGTTAACAGGGAAACAGAGATATGATGTTAATTAAAAAAATTGACCTCAAATCATGAAGACAGTTTGGAAAACTCCTTAGATTTTTATTGTTTAGAAATCATCCATAAATGATGACACGCTTTTATTCCTAAATATAAGAATTCCATTATCCATAATATAAGAATTCCATTATCCATAATATAAGATTTCCATTATCCAAAATATAAGATTTCCATTATCCACAATATAAGATTTCTATTATCCACAATATAAGAATTCCATTATCCATACTATAAGATTTTCATTATCCATACTATAAGATTTCCATTATCCATAATATAAGATTTCCATTATCCACAATATAAGATTTCCATTATCCACAATATAAGAATTCCATTATCCACAATATAAGATTTCCATTATCCANATAATATAAGATTTCCATTATCCATAATATAAGATTTCCATTATCCACAATATAAGATTTCCATTATCCACAATATAAGATTTCCATTACCCACAATATAAGATTTCCATTATCTATAATATAAGATCTCCATTATCCATAATATAAGATTTCCGTTATCCACAATATAAGATTTCCATTATCCACAATATAAGATTTCCATTATACACAATATAAGATTTCCATTATCCACAATATAAGATTTCCATTATCCACAATATAAGAATTCCATTATCCATAATATAAGATTTCCATTATCCATAATATAAGAATTCCATTATCCATAATATAAGATTTCCATTATCCATAATATAAGATTTCCATTATCCATAATATAAGAATTCCATTATCCATAATATAAGAATTCCATTATCCATAATATAAGATTTCCATTATCCATATAAATTTCCATTATCCATAGAAAATCTTTCTCCAAATTATTTTTAGTAAATAAATACAAAATTAACTGAAAAGAAACAAAAAACTTTCCGTGTTTGTCATCAATTAACTTCTAAACGATGACTTCTCAGCAAAAAGTTGCTTATTAGTAAATGAGAGCAAAAATCTACGATTTTAAAAATTGTTTACAGGAAAGCAGCGATGCCATTTTAGCTTTTTTTTTTTTTTTTTTTTTTTTTTTTTTTAAATCAAGTTCAAATCTTAAAGAAACGTTGGGAAATTCCTTGTAATTTTTTTATTAAGGGAAAGGCATTAAGGACTGTCCACTAATGTGTCACACGTTTTTTTAACTATAAGAATTCCCTTATCAATTCAGACAATTTTGTCCAATATTTTCTTCAATAGACAAATACTAAGTTAGAAAACTAAAAAGTATCTGATGTCAGTAATTATGTAAAAGTTGTTTACAGTAATTTATTATCACGGTTAATAATGTTTTTATAACGGTTAGTTAAAATAATCAACCTCAATTCATAAGGAAAATTTGGGAAATTCCTTGAAATTTTTATTACTTAGGGACCGTCCATACATGACGTCAAGCTTTTTTTCCTAAATAAAAGAATTCCATTTTCAACCTAAACAATTCAGGTGAAATCAAATAGCTGGAAATTAAAAAGAAAGATTTTTAAATAGCTTAAATAATAAATATAAATGGCGTTAAAAGTACATTTGAAAACATATGATAAATTAATTCTGCGAAACCAATCACGTATACTATTCTGTAGAGCAGTATTTCTTAACCTTTTTGATACAATGGACCCCTTTTAAAAATTTTTATGAAGTCACGGACCACCCCCTGTGAAAAAAAAATTGCGAAAAACATCAATTATTAGAAAACTTCTAATTTTATTATTTTAGTAGAACAAAATTTTTAATGTGAAGGTTGTTGCTGCTATTCCTTAATCAATAAACTGAATTGAGGGACGGTTTTGACAAAGCAACGCGCATATCATGTTCATTCAATCGATTTCGATGTTCCGTTTTTATTGTCACAAGTGTGGAAAATCCGGCTTCATTAAGATACATTGTAGCTAACGGAATTATAGCTGCCATAGCTCACTTTACAAGCAATGGGTATGCTTCTTTCACAGAAGACCAGAACTTCCCCAGTGTTTTTGAATTGAAATCCATTTTTAGCAAGGATTTCTAAGTTCCAAGATCAATAAGCCCCTCAACCAGGTGTTCACAGATTTCATTTTTTAAGTTATTCAGTAACAAATTATCTTGCTGAGATCCATTTTCAGAAAGCACTTCTTCCAACATTTGAAAGTTTGCTGTTGTTGTTGTTCATTTACGTCACACTAGAGCTGCAAAATGGGCTATTAGCGACGGTCTAGGAAACATCGCTGAGAATGATCCGAAGACATGCCATCACAATTTTGATCCTCTGCAGTGGGGATGGCACCCCCGCTCCTTTAGCCCGACGACCTGCACGCGAAGTCGAGCACTTTACGGCAGAACAGTTTAACGAGAACCAATACAGCACACCCTCGGTCCCTACTCAGACTGATCCAAGTGGTCACCCACCCGCACACTGACAGTAGCCAGTGATGCTTGATTTCGGTGATCTGCTGGGAACCGTGTCTTAACGATCAGTCCACTGCGGGACATTGAAAGTTTGCATAGATCTCATTTTGAATTCTATTTTTTCAAAGTGTCATTTTCAATAAGAATGCTTGTAAATTCTCAGGTGCATCCATAATGGTGATATCGGCCCTTGAATGAAAAGACTCATATTGTTCATGTGGTTAAAAAAATCTTTTTTTTTCATGTGCTTGTAAAATCTTTTTTTTTTAAATATTCGAAGAGTGGGTTATCGTTTTCTTCTAGAAAAAGTGATACTTCTGTCTACATGAAAATTTGTCTCAAAACCTGCCCCGTCCAGCGCACTTCCATGTGGTACAGAAGTACTTCATGTTCAGCCTCCATTTCTTGACACAGTGTCTTGAAAAGACGATGATTAAGAGCTCTACTTCTAATTAAAGTTCACAGTTTTAATAACTATTGATAATACTTCTTTTGAGCTGGTTGGAAGAGTTTTTGTAGCCAGTGCATGTCTATGTGTAAAAAAAATGAGTAACAAGAACATTATGAGACTCTTCTTTTTACCAACAGGGCAAAACCAGATTTATTGCCAAGCATCACAAGTGCTCCATTTGTACAAAGTGAATGAAGTTTTTCTTTCCAGCTGAAGTCGTGTTTGGTAAAGAAAACATTTAACATTGCTAAAACATCAACTGCCTTTGTAGTTTGCAAAAGAGACTCACAAAATAAGAATTCCTCTTTGATAGCATCAAGAGACACGTAACGAACAAAGACAAGAAGTTGACTACAATTCGAGATGTCTGTAGTTTCATCCAGTTGCATACTAAAGGGAAATGGTGATGCTTTTAATTCACTGATGGTCTGTTTCATGATATTGCAGGAAATTTCAACTATTCTTGAATGTATCACATCATTTGACAATGGAATAGCCTCCAGTTTTTTTCTCTGTTCCGGTCCACTAGCTATTTCAAACATTTCCAGCGCACATGGCTTAATTAACGTTTCTCCAATAGTAAGCGATTTCTTGCTTTTGGCAATACGATATGCAACTTTGAGAGATGCCTCAACCAGAGGTTTTTGTGGAATACCAAATCCAAGTTTGGTTAATGTTCTAGATTTGAAAAACTGGGCTGTCTTAGTAAAAAATTCTAGATCTAGTCACCTGGACAAGGTGTCAAATGTATGTAGGTTGATAAAAATAGCACAACGGACGTCATCAGGGGGTCGCCCCTGATGGTACAAACTAAAAGCCGGTTAGTGGAGGTTGTTAAAATATGACAGGGATATTAGAGGGCGGTGTGCAGTCGCACTGATTTTGGGGTATCTTGATCACCTAGTGTCAAATATGTATGTATTTTCACTTTTTAGAAAAAAAAGATCAATGTTATTTAAATATTGTAGTCCGCGGATCGAGATTCAGACAGAAAGTAAAGTTTATTAACAAAAAGCAAACAAACACATACAAATTTAAAAAGAACGCCATCTGGCGGTATAAAAAGAAAAAGACTTCGTAGCTATCCTTCCCAGGGAATGACAACAATCTCCCCCTGCGAGAAGGATTTTACTTTTTAACACATAAAACAATATACACATAAAAAATATTAATTC